TTTTTTTTTTTTTTTTTTTTTTGCGATACACACAACCATACACGCTCCTGGTGAACAAATTGACAGTCGAACGGAGAGAGTTAATGCCTTAATCATCAATTTTTATCGTTTGATTTCGACAACGCGGAATGTCGCGGAACAACGAAAGAGAGAAAGAGAGAGAGAGAGAGAGAGAGAGAGAGAGAGAGAGAGAGAGAGAACGGCTGTCTGTTTCGAAATCCGCCTTGCATCCCCTGTAGGAAACAAGATTTCGTCCGAAAGTTTGGTCCATCTAGTGTGAGCGAGCGCACAGGAGTAAGAAAGAAAGAGGAACGAGAGGATGCGTAGGAAAGGATGGAGAGGGAGAACAGGAGAGAGGGCTGGCGGGACAAAATTCATTTGACCAAATTAAACAGAGTTTAGCAATTTGCGCTTAATCCATTTGTCGGGGATCCGCCGTCCGTCAGTCCGTCCGTCTGCCTTTACTTCAACCCTCTCTCTTTCTCTTTCTCTCTCTCTCTCTTCTCCCTTTCTCTTTCTTTCTCTTTCTCTTCTCTTGCTCCCTTTCTCTCATTCCCGCGACCCCTATTCCGCGTCACCCTTCCAGCCGTTCATTCCATGTGCCTTACCAGTATCTCACCTCTCTCTTCGCCTCTGGAAGGCTTTTACGTTCGCCTTAGGTTTCGCTCTTTAATTTTTTTCTAATAAAAATCTATTCCTTCTAATTGTAACTCATTGTTTTTCTTACACGACGACGTTAGATCGTGTAGCTCGTAGTCAATCTCGAACATCAATGTCGAGATTTTATATAAGTGACGTATAATCTCACATTAGTCAACACATCTCGCGAGATAACAAAAAAAAAGTACTAAGTTAAATCGTATGTCTCATTTATTTATTGATTTACGTATGCGAGACACACACACGCACGAGACGTCATATGTATCTTTTATTCGCTATTCGGTATTCTGACGCGCGTGTCGAGGGCATAAAGGAAAAAATCTCACGGATTTTAGTCATCAAGTTTAATCAAACCACATCCTCAAGATGCGGTTTCAAGATGCGGTCGTTCAGCACAGGCAGTTTCCGAAAGTACGCGAAATAACGCAAACACGTTATGTTTCCGCGATTCGATTCGCGAATCGATCGAGCACGAGCTTTGACCGCGCCGATTTCCTGTAATCCATTATTGCGCTCAATGTCTCATTTGCGGATGCCCACCCACCGTTTCCCCTCGCCGCTTACCATCGCACCCCGCATTACGCCATTCTCTCGGCCCGCCTTTCGCCTCGCACACGTTACACGCTCTTCGCCACTTGGATCTTATTATCACGGAATTGTTTCCGTTCCTCCCTGAGTCCCCCCCCCACCCTCGTCTCGAGCTTTCTCACCACCCTCGCCTTCTCCTCCCGGCGAGAAAACAGCGAATCCGACCTAAGTGTATTGGCAGTTGTGTCCACGTTTTATTTCCATTCAATCGGGTGAGCACCTTTAGGATCACTTCCACGGAAACCGAGTAAAGTGCTCTCGGGGCGCTCTTGGATATCCTCCTCTCGGTTTCTGGGTCCTGCGACCGCAGCTACGGATCCGTTTAACATCGGTGTCCGAAGCGCCCGGCGGTATCTCGCGCGCTCCTCCGAGCGTTTCTGCAGCGCAAAGGTCTTAACACCTTTGAATCTTGTAGTGCTCTTGCGCGTAGTGTTACCGCGCGTGTGTATATTTACACACGCGCTTTTCCCTTCGTCCAACTTTTTTATACACTCGTCTCGATGCCACGGAGGATCATATCCGCGGGTTACGCCGGTCGCTATTGAATCTCGCGAGCGAGAAAATACATTTATATAAAAAAAAAATAGCGAAGTTCTCCTAGCGCGTTTAATTTATCACGTCGCGCGCAGTTCGTGCGCTCGCGTCAAGGACTATTTCCAAGTATTAATACTTCTTTTTTTTCTTCCGTGTTAGTATACGTATATAAACCTCGATGGCCCGCGCATAAAACTAATGGAATATAGGTGTACCGGAGAGGGCGCGAAGTCGCGCGGAATGAACTCCGCGCGTATTGTACAGCCCGAAACGTTGCGCGCGCGCGCGCGCGTCTACACGTATAATAGCGCGAATTTAAGTGTCCGTGAGGAAATGGATACTAAAAACACGCGACTAGTGTGGTATAAAGCGACACATACGCGGCTAAAGTAGACGAGGCGAATATTATTGCCGACTTCCGTAGCTCGTCGTAATACTTTGGTCCGCTTAAAACCTTCCTCTCTCTCTCTCTCTCTCTCTCTTTCTCTTTCTCTCGTGTGCGCGTACGTGTACAACGGTGTCGTATGTACGCGCATCTCCGTGCTTTCCTTCGTGATTTATTTCGCCGAGTTATTTAATCGCGCATTCATTCATCGTGCGTCAAAGTCTCTCCACCTTCTTCCGCGCGCGCGCGCGCGCGTAGCCCGTCGCTTAAATCTTTGTTTCTGTGACACATCCGTATGTATAATTCTCCGTAAATTCTCTAGATTACTACGTAGCCATTGTTTTTTCGCGAGCGCGTCTTGGTATCAACGTTATTTCACGTACATCGCAAAGCGGATTGCAAACGCAGATTGACGTTTAGAAATTTGTCGCGTTGAATAATAAATATGTAGGTGCGTGCGTACGTACGTGCGTGCGTACGTGCGTGCGTGCGTGCGTGTGACACGTCGTAGCTGCGACGTCACAAAAAAAGAGCGAGAGTGTGTTACGTGTTATAACAGATTTAAAAAGTATAATCGAAATTACATACACGTTCCATATGTTGGGCCTTCAAGAAAGAAGACGACGGACGTTCTTCAGTGTTTAGGTTGGCGACGTGTATTCTCAGGGAATTAACATACATTCAGAATGTTATTGCTTGAGAATACACGTAGTTGGCCTAGCCAATAACATCACACACGACAAAAAGACGGCGACCTTGTGTTCATCCGTTAAATAATCCCGAAAAATAAGGACGGAAGCGTGTGAATGAAGCGTTTCAGAGGAAAAGAGCGTTCGTGAAAGGAATTTTTTTTTTTTATGGCGCGCGTGTAATATCGCGTTATACGCAGAAAAAAAAAATGTGTTTTGCGTTTAATTCAAAAGATCGACTTTGGTTCGACAACTGAGCGTGTTGCGCGAATAGAAGAAAGATACTCGCAAAGATGCGTGCACACACGCTGCGTATCCCCCCTCCCGGTTCGTATCGCGTCTGCATTTTTCTCTCTTTATTTCGCACAGATGCACTTCCACACATTCTTCGATATGTGAAAGAAAAATGCAGGCGCGACACGAGGATGCGCAATGAGTGTGTGCACGCGTCTCAATTGGATTTGGAATGCGTGAATGATTTTTTTTACCGAAGACTGATATACAAACGTGTGCGGACTTGTTGCGTATCTCCGTATCGTATCCACATTTTTTTCTTTCTCTCTCTCTTTGTTCCGTGGATGTCTCTGTAGATACGCTAAGGAGATACGCGCGAGTCCGTACGT